TTAACCCTTCTGGCTTGCAAAAAGATTAGGGAGGTTTACAAGGACGATTCTCCCCCATAATAAAGTCTCACAGCTGAATATAATGAACATGCCCGGCTAGGTCCTACAACCTCTGTTCCTTACAACTCCCTTTCCCCCAAAACTGGCTTCTTCTGGGACCCTTGAGGCTGAAAGCGCGCCAAGTGGCGGGGAAATAAGTGGGCATTCTGCTGGACCCCAAACCGGGCGGGACTGTCGGGAAGGAAGTCGGCACTCTCCTTAGCCCCACCACCTCCCTGTTTCCTTTGCAGCCAGTGATCAAGGGTTTGTGGTGTTGATCGGGCAGGAGAAGTATACAGATATCCCCATGGTACCCAAAGGCATCGCCTATAATCCCTCCAGCCTCATCTTCTATGTCTGGGGGAACATGATCTTGCAAAGGTAAGAGTCCCGTGCCACCGAGCCGGCTGCTGCTGTGTGACCTCCTCGCTCAGGGCCCCAAATGCCACGGGAGGAGGGGTGTCTCTCCCTTGCTCCTGCCTTCTTTCCGTATTAGAAGAAAGTTTGTGATTTCCTGTGCGAGAAGCGATAGTAGCGAGACTTCTTTTATTAACTTCGAGAAAAGAATGCGTAGTGGCTCAGAGGTTAAGACTTCCAGCTGCAGTCTGGAAGGCCGGTAGTTTGGCAGTTCGAGACCCGAGTGCCGCGTGACGGAGTGAGCTCCCGTCTCTGGCCCCAGCTCCTGCCAACCGAGCAGTTCGAAAGCAAGAAATTGCAAGTAGATAAATAGGTACCGCTTCGGTGGGAAGGGAACAGCGTTCCGTGCGCCTCGGCGTTTAGTCATGGACCACAGAGACGTCTTTTGGACAGCGCTGGCTCTTCGGCTTGGAAACGGAGATGAGCACCACCCCCTAGAGTCGAATTCGACTGGCTTTCGAGCAAGGGAAACCTTTACCTTGACCAAAACCTTTACCTTTACCTGAAGTCTGGTAATACAGGCTCCCATTGCTGTAGTCGCCAATTCAACAAAAAGGGATTCCAAGTTGATAAGTTATTTCTCCCTCTCTCTTTCTTGCTTTAGCAACGACCTGAGGAATTACCTTTACCTCTCCGATTTCACCGGCGATTCCGCCATCAAGTATTTTATTCAGTCCTATTCTGGGGAGCTTGCCTGCGTGACTGAAGACGAGCAGGTATAGAGACATAGAAACGTAGAGCTGGAGGGGGGACCACGAGGGTCATCTAGTCCAACCCCCTGCACAATGCGGGAAATTCACAGCTACCTCCCCACCCCAGTGACTCCCTTGTTCTGTGCCCCGATGTCTGGTTTGCCTGTTTTCTGGTTTGTCTCCAAGGCCTATCTGGTGATGAATCCCGGGCAGAGGCATTTCATTCATATATTTATCAGTCATCTTTGTCCCTTAAGGAGCTCAAGGCGGCTTCCCATATCAATAATATGTGTAAAATAGATTGCATCATTAAAAATACATAAAACCAAAATTTAAAAATCACCATTGAGGACTGCTTGAATCAAAGTGCAGTCCCCAGTCAAACCATCTTCAGCTGCCTCCTAAAGACTGAAAGTGAGGGGGGCCGGGCGCACCTCACTGGAAAGGTTGTTCCATCATCGTGGGGCCGCCACCAAAAAGGCCATCTGGCATGGGCCCACCCAACGGGCCTTTCCCTGTGATCTCAATTCCTGGGCAGGAGGCATAACAGAGAGCCAGCCGGCGTGCGGTAATGGTTAAGAGCAGTGGACTCTGATCTGGAGATCCGGTTTTGAATCCCGACTCCTCCTCCCCTGCTGGGAGACCTTGGGCCAGTCACCGTTCTCTCGGAACTCTCTCAGCCCCACCTAGCTCGCAAGGTGCCTGTTGTGGGGAGAGGAAGGGAAGAGGATTACCAGCCGCTTTGAAACCCCTTACAGGAGACAAAAGCAGGGTATAAAAACCAACTCTTCTCTTCAAAATGGGAGAAGATGGTCCCTCCAGATGTCCCAAACCATGTTGGTCTTTAAAGGTCAAAGCCAACACCTTGAATCGGGCTTGGGAGTGGATTGGTACCCAGCAGGGGTCATTTTGTAGAAAAAGAGGGGCAGGAGCTCATTAGCACAACTCATTTGCATATGCCACACCCCCTGACATCACCGGAAGTGTGTCAGAAGGCGACACCCACCGCTCAGGCTCCACTGGACTGTTTTGAATTGCTAGCTATTGGGGGGGGGGACGCGCAGATCTGTCCTCGCAGAGGAGGGAGGGCTTGTACCTGAATAAAACTTGGTCTTAAAGGTGTCACTGGACTGTTTTGGACCGGGGGGCTCTGCAACTTACCCAGCTGCTTCTTGCTCTGACTGAGGGCTGCTGGGAGCAGGGGGTGGGGCTTGTTGCATGTGCCCACCCCCTGGGCTCTTTACTGCCAGAGCTCCACTCCTGTGTGCTCCTGCAGGAAAGCTGGTCTGTGAGAAACCGTTCCTGCTTCAATATTGGGGTTACATGCTCCAGATAGCAATGCCCCCATCTCCAGGAGGGAGGCCCAGCTTGAAAAACAGCAGGCTTGGTTCCAGCCCATTCTCTCCATCCCTTCCCCACCCATCATGTCTGAGAGGCCTGCCGCTAGTCCTGGCATGGTAACAGCTGGTCTGTGAGAAACCGTTCAGGGCTGAAATCGCACTGTCTGGTTCCAGGGCTCAGGTTTGGGCTGTTTCCTCAAGCTTCCCGCTTGCCCCCCCCCCACTCAAGGTCTGGATCTCCCACGAAGGCAGCTCCATCATCAGAAAGATCTATCCGTCCAGGGCCTGGGAACTGAACAAGAACCTTCAGATAATGGGCGGATCGGCCATATATCAGCGGCACGAGTCGCGGGTCACCGTGTTCTTTGACAGGCACAATCTGCTAGAGGTGAGGCTTGGACATATATCAGCGGCGCGAGTCCCGGGGCACCGTGTTTTTCGAAAGGCACACTCTGCTAGAGGTGGGATTGGACATATATCCGTGGTGCGAGTTGCGGGTCAGCGTGTTCTTTGAGAGGCACACCTTGCTAGAGGCGGGACTGGACATATATCAGTGGCATGAGTCGCGGGTCACCATGTTCTTCGACAGGCACACCCTGCTAGAGGTGGGACTGGACATATATCTGTGGTGCGAGTCGCGGGTCAGCGTGTTCTTCGACAGGCACACCCTGCTAGAGGTGGGACTGGACATATATCAGTGGTGCGAGTTGCGGGTCAGCGTGTTCTTTGAGAGGCACACCCTGCTAGAGGTGGGACTGGACATATATCAGTGGCGCGAGTCGTGGGTCACCGTGTTCTTCGACAGGCACACCCTGCTAGAGGTGGGACTGGACATATATCAGTGGTGCGAGTCGCGGGTCACCGTGTTCTTCGACAGGCACACCCTGCTAGAGGTGGGACTGGACATATATCAGTGGCGCGAGTCGCGGGTCACCGTGTTCTTCGACAGGCACACCCTGCTAGAGGTGGGACCGGACAGCTGGTTCCTGACTGTGTCATGCGTAACGGCTGATTCTGTTGATTGACAACAGGACTCGGTCCCCCCCAGCCTTTCTACATCCTCCTTTGCTTCCCTTGAATTGAGATTCACCAGTCGGAAAACCTATGGTGTCGTTCATGCCAAGAGAACACTCCCGTTGGCACCGTGAACACCTCCGCGAAGGACAAGGGTACTGGAAATCTTATAGCGAAGGTGGTGGTGGGGGGTCAAGGCTGAGTATGAACGATCACCATCCGGACACCCCCATCGTCACCATGAATTCAGCAACAGAAGAAACACGGAGGATCCTCGCTGTACGGGAGCAGCTGTGGAAGGGTGGTAGAAAAGTACCATCAAACCTCAGCTGACTTATGGGGGGCGGGATCCAGTTTGGTGCGGTGGTTAGGAGCGCGGACTCTAATCGGGGAGAACCGGGTTTGATTCCCCGCTCCTCCACATGCAGCTGCTGCTGCAACCCTGGGTCAGTCACAAGTCCTCTCAGAGCTGTTCTCTCAAGGGCAGTTCTTGAAAGTGCTCTCCCAGCCCCACCTACCTCACGGGGTGTCTGTTGTGGGGAGGGGAAAGGAGACTGTAAGCTGCCCTGAGAGCCCTTAGGGTAGTGAAGGGTAGGGTATAAATCCAACTTCTTCTTCTCCTTCTCCTCCTCCTTCTCCATGGGGTTTTCAAGGGAAGTGAGATTCAGAAGGGGTTTGCCATCGCCGGCCTCTGCATAGTAAGCCCAGTCTTCCCTGGTGGTATCCCATCCAAGCCCTCGCCAGGGCTGATCCTACTTAGCGAGCCCAATTCCATCAGATCTTGGAAGTTAAGAAGGGTCAGCCCTGGTTAGAACTTGGATGGGAGACCACCGGGGAAGTCCAGGGTCGCCACACAGAGGCAGGCAAGGGCAAGCCACCTCTGTTCATCCCTTGCCTTGAAAATCCCATGAGGGGTCACTATAAATTTGCTCTGACTTGACAGAGCTTTCCATACAGCAAGGATCTTATGGCCCCGGTCACACGGAGATTTTGCCACGCGAAAGGCACGAATGTCGGGCGGATTTTCGGGGCGCGATCACGCCACAACATCTGCGAAGCGTAGCGCACCTGTCCAACCCACGGCCGAAGGATGCGGAGTTAAAAAGTACCGAGGAAAGTGCACTAGTATCCGGAAAACGTGCGGCACAGGCGGGCGTCTGATCGCCGGAGTGCTAGTATTCCGTGGCATCCGCCGCCCGTCCACGTCCCATCGCAAACCGGATGTTTTTTGTAAGCGCATGCGCACAAACACGAAACTGAAAGCAGTGCTGCTCCGCGGAACTGTGCATGTGCACAAACGTGAAACACTTGTGTGATTGCGCTGCGCTGCTTCTTTGCCATGCTGGAGCATCACCGTGTGATCGCCAGCTAACAGCCTAAGCATGGAGACTCGGGGGACCGTGTGATCGGGCTACCATGCTTTATTTTGCTCCAGGGCAAACAGCCACGCCTCCCCCCCACGTTATCTGGCCAGTGGGACCGGGGCCTATGTTTCTTCTTCTTCTGCTGCTGCTGCTAATGCGGTATCATTCACAGTGATGATGGAGTTTTCACATGGTGGTTATTCGCACCAAGCCTTGATTCTCCCCCCCACACACACCTAGCCTTCCCTGTAAGACTTCCCAGTATGATTTTCCTTCATATGTCGGTCTGACAGAGTGGGCTTTGACTCACTGAAGCTCCAGAGGAACTGGTTGGCTGTTAGTCTGTAGGCCTTCCCTGTAAGATTGTTGGTCTGATCCAGCAGGGCTCTTCTGATGTTCTTATAAAGGTCTCAGTCTCTATGATGTATTGTTGGCTCTCCAAAGGATCTGGTTGACCACTGTGTGAGGCAGGATGCCAGACTGGATGGACCACTGGTCTGATCCAGCAGGGCTCTTCTGATATTCTTATGAAGGTCTCAGCCTCTGTGCCCTGTTGTTGATTGTCTAGAAGAACTGGTTGGCCACTGTGTGAGACAGGATGCTGGACTAGGTGGACCACTGTTCTGATCCAGCAGGACTCTTCTGATGTTCTTATGAAGACCTCAGCTTCCATGCCCCTGTTGTTGGCCCTCCAGAGGAACTGGTTGTCCACTGTGTGAGGCAGGATGCTGGACTGGATGGCCCACTGGTCTGGTCCAGCAGGGCTCTTCTGATGTTCTTATGAAGGCCTCAGCCTCTATGCCCTGTTGTTGGCCCTTCCAAGGAACTAGTTGGCCACAGTGTGAGACATAATGCTGGACTAGATAGACTAATGGTCTGGTCCACCAGGGCTCTTCTGGTGTTCTTAAGAAGGTTGGCCACAGTGTGAGACAGGACGCTAGACTGGATGGACCACTCATCTGACGTGTCAGGGCTCCTCTCGTGTTCTGAATGTCCTCTGGGACAAAGGTTCTTAATCACGACATGTTCCAATTCCTCCCCCTCCTCCTCTCCCTTCAAGTGTTGCTCAAAACATTCCTCAATGGAAGCAGCCCCCTTTTCTTTCAGCTGGTTTATATGGAGGATGACCTTGGCCGTGGAAAGCTGATCAAGAGAGAATTCCCACAGCGGTACATCCTGACCTACAGCCATATAATCGACCACCCTCACCGGGTGTTCTCAGACGAGTGAGTGAACAGGCTTCTAGATAAGCAGAGGAAGGCAGGTGGGTTGGCGGGATGGCACGGGGGCAAGTCCTTTCACCAGCTTCACCTGGACAAGATGTTCAGTCGACAGGAACCTGGGAAGCGCAACTATTGTGTGGGTGTTCCATGATCTGCCGGCGCTTAGCTCCCAAAATCCGCAAATACCGTGCGGATTATAAAATATCTCAAATAATTTTGATATATTTTTTGGTTTATATTTTTACAATTTATTCACCATATATTATTTATCATATAAGCCTTAATACATAGAAAGAATCATATATCAAAACATCTAAGTATCGTCTCTTAATATATCACAAAAGATATTGCACAACCCCTTCATTAATATCAGTCCTCCTTAATTATACAAAAGTTTTAAGAGGGAGGACTCCTTTAAGACTATTTTGAGTAAGTGCTCAGTCTTCCTCCAACGGAGGTCCAGATATCCTCCTGTTTCAGTGTCTTCCTCGGGGAGTTCAACAGATATTTCCAAGCACAAGGTTGCCAAATACCAAAATATCAATTTTTTTCAATGAACGCTGCAAAAAGTCTCTCTTAGTGAGCTCAAAGCTTCCTCCAAAGCTTTCACTCCCTCTTAAAACTTCTGTATAATTAAGGAGGACTGATATTAATAAATGGGTTGTGCAATATCTTTTGTGATATATTAAGAGACGATACTTAGATGTTTTGATATATGAGTCTTTCTATGTATTAAGGCTTATATGATAATTTATTTATTTTATT